GCAGCTGATCGCGTATATTTACGATAGATCCGGGCTGAGCTGTCAATGTATTTTTTTAATATGATGTCATAATCATGAAATCACGCTAAATCCACTCTGAATTGTCTGTATGTGAGTCGCTCTCAATTATTGTTGTATCCAATTAAACGCCGCCATTCACGCACTTGTCCCCTTCATGACCCGACGCGTTCACCATTACAAGGCGGCAGTCATTTATTTAGTAACTGTGTTTTGTCGTTTTTTTTTAAATTATTTCTTTATTTTATAAATCAATAGTGTCTAGTAACCTGCTAAATAACAAGACGATTCAGCCGTCAAATTTGATTTTGTCCAATGCCGGAGTCCAGCGACAGTGTACAAACGTGCTCCAGTGACTGTAATGACCACGGTGACTAACTACACCAGACCGGACATATTTCGCATCTGACTCAACCCCATGCAACAAACTTGATACTATGTGTTCATTATGGTTCATTCTTCCTCAACGAACAAGTACATAAGTGGCAATTTAGTCAAAGACGAGAAAACAGCACAAGAAATTTGCCTTATTTACACGTATCGGCAATGCAAGCTGCCCAGCGACTTCCCCTTCTGACGTCACAAGGGGAATTTCTGTATGCAAATGAGAAGCTAATGAGGAGCCTCGTTTTAAAATACGCAAAAATAAAGTTTCCGTAGATTGAGTTTAAACACATTTTTTCACTTAGAAAAAAATATTTATGCTTAGAAACATAAAAAATAATAATATTTATGTATCAATGGATAATTTTAGGCGTGAAAATAGCAGCCATTTCACAGGCACTTTAAATGTCCAATGTATATAAGTAGTCTTTCAAAATCGCCGGGACCTCAGAAGTGAAAGGTCACGTACATTAACATAGATAGGAGATGACGTATACAGCTGCACTTTGATTCGTTGTCAATGCTAGTCAACATCTTTTAATTAGCATAATCACCAAAGTGATTTCGCTCTGGTTTTCACTCCAACGCAGGGGGTCGCCTGCAGATGCGTCCAGTCAGGATTTCTTTTGCAGTCACGCTAGTTTTTGCAATCACGTTAAAAAGGATAAATTGACAATTAATTAAGTCCAAACTTTGTCAGTCTAACTCCAAGAATATGTCAAGAATAAACATAAGACAAGTGATTACCATTTCTACCACAAACTCGCTCATTCCCTCACTCTTAGTGTGTTTTGCAATTTCATGTCAACATCATTGCATACAATTGTCTATTGTGTGCATTTGGTGTTGTAAAACTAAGGTCAAAAGAATAGTGAAAAATGCATGGAATAATACAATGCAATTACGGTATTTGCTTTATTATTAGCACATGCACAGATTTTTCTGTGGTAATACAAGTCATATTTTGAAGTTTTACTATATAGCCAATAAGATTTTTGTGATTTTTTTTTTATCATGAGCGCTCCTATTCGAGATGTGCTTCTAATAGAACAAATACGGTAATCACCAGTGTATTTCTGTGTGAAATTAAAGTTGAACTCAGAGTGGTTTCTTGTCCATGAGCTTACTGTTTTACCCGGTGCTGCTACGGGTATCGGTATTATAACACTGCAATGTGTTCTCTAACCGCATTTCATCACTAACTCTGATATGTGTTTATAAATCATGTGATTTGCACCAATTATTTTTTCACTTCTCTTCCTGTTTTTTACGACTGAACTAAAAAAACATCTAAAATTTGAAGATATTCCCAGTGACACTTGACTCCCTAGACTGGTTGAAATAATCCCAGTGGCACTTACATAGTTATCTTTTTTATATTCATGTACTTTTGTAACAGATGTTGAATTTTCACCACCAGAAATGTTGCTATGACTATAGATAGTTTCAATTGTGTTGTTACTGATTCATCAAACTAACTGCGTCTTATTTTTTCCCAAATTTCACACTTTTCATGTTTGCTTGCTTGAATCCTGCTTGGTATCATGGGTAAGCATTATACCTATTCATTCTCCATCTGTGTCGTCACATTAATAATTCAATGTATTAGGCATCAACATAATATCGCATAACACAGCGCCCAGGAAAAAGTGGACTTTTTTCCATACTTTTAATAATTAATAATATGGATCCATGTGATATTAAAAATTACCCCAAAAAATGATGTCATCAGACGATATTTTGAAAAATTTGAATCTGAATTCTTTTTGGAGACAAAATACCCATTTATCTTTGTTTTCGCATTTGTTACTATGTTGAAAATATTTTTTCATATCTTGAAATATAAAATATAAAATATATCTTGAAAGTCTAGCGAAATCAATTTATGGAAGTGCTAAAAATACTGAGAAATATAATCACATAACTGGGTAGTTTTAATGTGCATGTTTTATCCATTCAAAGACACTAGCAGGTTTTTTGGGGTTTCCTTAGTTATCTAAGAATTGTATCGTAGAGTTAAAAAATAAGTTTTGGTTCACTGCTGACAAAAAATGCTACTATTCTAGCAAAACAACAAACTAGTCAGAAATTTAAAAAAAAAAAGAAAAATAATGAATTTTGAAAAAGTGTTTTCAGAATACATGAAGCTTATCCACTGATGGCTGTGTACTGGTGACATAGGATTGTGGGTAATGACACAGGATTGTGGGTAATCACTGTATACCATAACATAGTGTACACTAATGTTCAAACTCACTTCATATTTGGGTTTATGTTTTAACACATTGCATGGCATTGAGCTGTATATTGTCAATAACATGTGGAGTGACTTTTTATGTGGGGGTTATTTATAATAACTTCACTGTACTTTATTGTTTGACCTCTGACTCGACTCTTAACGTTCTTTCATCTTTAGACCTATCAAATTCAGTCTAGCTGAAGGTGACAAAAGTAAGACGTTACCACCCAGAATTGTGAGACCGCATACATATGCTGGTCGGTCTTTGAGTATGGCAACTGATATTGCGGCTCAGCGTAAGTCTCTTCTTTCATTCTGTAATTCAACTTTTTAGCTCCACTGTCGACTTTGTCGGGCGGGGCTTATCATATGAGTGATTGCTCGTCGTCATCCGTGTCAATGTTTTACTTTTTTGACTTCTTCTTGAAAACTACAAGCCTGAATGCTTTGATACTTGGTGTATATGTACATTGGGTAGATCTCTCTCAGGTTTGTTAATTTCATGATGATATCTTCAATTCTCTAATTTTGGTGAATATTTTTGTCATTTTTGGTAAAAAGTGATATTTTCGCCTTCTTGTTAAAAATCGCGTCCAATTGCTTTGATAATACATATATAGGTACTACATGTGAACCTCTCTCAGATTTGTTCATTTTGTAATGATATCTTTAATTCTCTAATTTTGGTGAATATTTTTGTCATTTTTGGTAAAAAATGATATTTTTGAATTCTTGTTGAAAACAGCAAGTCCTGTTGCTTTGATACTATACATAATGTTCATTTTCTAATGATATGTGCATTGCTAACAGCAGAGCTATCTCAGCCGACAGGCTGCTTGTTGATGATAAAATATACAAATTTAAAAATCATACCCTAGAAGCAAATGGCTGCTAAGATCTCATTGAGAGTGAGAGAACCGTGCGACTTGTTTTTGCCTCTCGTAATAGTGTTCCATTTTTTCCTGTTGTCATGTCAACTGTTGTTATGGTCTATCAACAGTAGATGCAATGATGCATGAGAATGAAGGGAAAATCTTGTGAATCTCTCACACACACGATCAATGAGTCTCTGGCCGACACTTGCATACAATAGGCTATTGTTCCAGTGTATTGTGGCATGTACTTATGCTACAAAATATAGTTAAAAGCGGAGGGAGTCGTCACCTGCGCATGCGGCAGATGGCCATAGCGTGTCAATGTTTACAAACAAGCATCTACCCATGAGTCTCTGCATTTTTAGCGTGTATTGTTATAGTCGCGTGGGACTCAATTCCCGCACGTGCGCAGGTGACTACCCTCTCGCTTTAAGTGCTGTATTACATTTATAAGAGGTCGCATACTGAGAAATTGTATCAACTTCTACGAAATTACATGCATGAAAATGATTTTTCAAAATGGTTGTATGAGGGCGCTGTATACTTTTGTTTCTCTGTCCCACACAGCTGTGATTGTTGTATATTTCAGTTGTTTCATCATCTGATGCTGATTCGGTGTATAGGAGTTTGTTAGAAGCTAACATGGCTACTGAAGTTGGTATTACAGTACTGGACATCATATGTCTATATTGTTTACAGTTTAAGGTATGGTAAAAAAATAGGCCTTGAAAATGACAAAAATGTGAAATAATATAATGATTATGAAAAAACTTCTTCTGTTTCTTGTGTTTTGTGTTCGTATTAACATTATTTCTTGCCGGTGATGTGTCTAAAATGTCTGGTTTAAAGCGCGGTGGTCGCTATGAGTCCCATATCGAACAGGAAGCGGCACGACGATTGCCGCCCTTTAAGCCAACCTGAAACTACGCTATTTGCATAATATGCAAAAGCATATAAGAGGCATATTATGTCGAAGACCTTTGACATGAAGAAAACTATCATTTGCTATTATTATTTACTTTCTTTTGCACTTCTGACTCGCAATTAATGCTAAAAAGTAGCAGTGGGAAAAGAACCCACAACAGGGTAGTCTTGTTTGTTAGCCACACTTGACACTCCGCCTTGTGACAATAGGAAACACAAGTCTACTAAAGCTGCAGTGATGAGAAATCAAATTTTAATGATAAAGAATACTAGTATAATAAATGGTTTGTGGTTGTAGTAGCAAATATCGTTCTGATCTCTTGATTTATTTCATTCATTATAGCACCAGTTAGAAGAAGATGATGGTGACAATATTTTAATGAGAAAAGTTTTCGATATTTTCCTATCCTATCTGCAAATGAGTCAGTCTGAAGTTTTACTCAAACATGTTTTTGCTGGTTTGCGTACATTTATTAGCAAGGTAAGAACTTGAGAATCAAAGCAAAATAGCAATTAAATTTCTGATAATATCAAAGATCACCATGCACAACTACCTAGTTATATTACTGGATGTTTCTTTGTCCATCAACAATTGCTGTTCTTCTTGAAAACTACCAGCCTGATTGATTTGATACCATGAAAGCATATGAGAGCTCTCCAGAAAATCAAAATCATTTGAAATATGTAGGTCTATACAAGAACATGTATTTTGTATTTTAACGACAATTTGTTTACCTTCAGTTTCCAACAGCGCTGTTTAAAGGCCATGCACATCTTTGTGGTGATCTGTGTTATGAAGTAAGTCCATTTGAATTTACAACTACAATACAGTCATTGTATTCCAATATGTGGATTTTTTCTTAATTTTTCATTCAGTGTTGCTGTGTATTCTTCAGTTCCAGTTCTTTTGTTCTCTGTGTGGTTTGTTAATTCTTACCTCAAATGCACTACATAGTTCATGCAAACTCAATATGGCAGGCAGCTAGTCATGACGGACTTCACTCAGAGTGAGATATTATCTTTCCAGCAAGTATTCCACTATAATCAACCTAGAGAAATAATTGGTGACAAATGTATAGT